CGTGAAGTTCGGAAAGGCAGACCGTAAAATCCTAAACCAAAAACTCACTCTGCCGATATAACTCTTCGTGTAACTATTTTTAACAAGGAGAAAGAAAAATGGTAAAAAACCGCTGAAATGAGAACTGCAAATTATTGACTGGAGACAGTACTTAGTGAAAATCGTCAGATGCAACAGTTTTGTTCTCTGAGATAATCAACTGATGCCACCAGTTTTTCTATTAACATGTGGCTTGGTTTTTTTTAAAGTGGATTCTTGTATTGACATCAAGGCAGTGTTTTGATACATGGAGAAGTAACTGACAAGTCTGGATTGTGAGAAGACAGATTAGGGAAACTGATATCTTTCTTTAAACAGGAAAAAAAAAAAAAGTCTTAAAACTGCATCCTTCCCATCCACCACAAGTGCTGTTCTGGTTACTGTCACTAAGACTTTCCAATGTTCACTCTGAAATACTTGAAGAATTTTTAAACATTTGTTTCTAGATGAAGCTGCATAATTTCCAAACTGGGAAGTAGTACTTAAAATTGAAACAAGTATTTTTGTCATAAGTAATCTCTTGACCTAATGCTTATACAAAACATTTTCCATATATGACGCTCACCTAAAATAAATTTAAATAAGTTCATGTTTGGAAATTTGTTATAAGAGATGATATTACTGACACTTTGCAGACAGATGACCAGCTTGTGGTATCTGAATATTTTGAAGGCTGATGCTGAATGTCTTTGCTATATAGCAAAGGCAAAGTTTAGTGTTTAGCATGATGCTAAAGAATTTACATGTCAGCAGTAAGAACAAGAGCTATTTCTGTATGTTAGATGTTAATTTAATTCTTTGGAGAAAGAAATATTTTATTTTTCCTTAGTACAGTGGCAGGCAGTGAATACACTTCACTGGTTTTTTATAAGATGACTTTACAGTTCCTTTTTTGTTTTGAGGAAAAGCTCTACTATGTGGTAATTTTGAGTGAAAGACCTGTAAGCATTTCTCAGTCTCCATTGTTATTCCTTTTATGCTACTTTGTGTCTTGTAAGTTCCAGCTTTAGTTTGTTGCTGCTGTGCATCTATTCATAAAATCTTTCTGAACTTTGCTGCTTGTTCCTCCATTCTACTGACTAGTAAGTGCTTGTATAGCTGCCCAAGCAGTTCTTGCTTGATTGATCTGACAGTTCCAAGGTCTTGCGATTATATAGAGATGAATTGGATTTATCTTACTTTTTAAGTACTTGGCAGTGAGTATAGGAGCAATATGGAGTTACTGCAATATGAAATTCAGTCTTAGACATATTTTGGCTTTTGAGTGCACTTTGCTTTTAAATAACTTCCCCTCCCCCTTCTGTTTAGGAAGTACAGAAGTTGAATCAGCAGCTAGAGGAGAAAAACGGAGAGATACAGCAGATGATAAATCAGCCTCCATATGAAAAGGAGAGGGAAATCTTACGACTGCAGAAGACCTTGGCAGAGAGAGAGAAGGCTCAGGCCACCAGTGATGTTTTGTGCCGTTCACTCACTGATGAAACTCACCAACTTCAACGCAAATTAGCATCCACAGCAGAAATGTGTCAACATCTGGCAAAATGTCTAGAAGAGAAGCAAAGAAAAGAGAAGGGGAATTCAGATGACCAGATACCTACTGAAAGATCTAATCAGGTATTCTTAGAGCTGCTATGTGTCTTTAAAGTCTTATTAGATTCTGAGTCGTTAATTACAGTATGATAATTGTAACTGGGGAATAGTGAGAAATATCCCTTTAAACAATTTCATGCAAGGTGTGGAGACTACCATGGCAAGTTCTAAATAATTCCATGTACCAGAAATTTAAGATGGAAGCAGTTGTCTGTCACTTTCACTTTGGCTTTGTAGAGAGGATCTTAAGAATTTCCTACCAACCTCAGCAATTCCACAATTACAATTCTTTCTTGCATGTACAGGAAACAGTACCTTACACTGCCCTGTGCTTCTGTGCAGCACTAGATGGAGCTGTGCTTTTGAAGGTGATCTCTCCTGATTACTTTTTCAAGCATCAAAATCACGAAACATAGATATTTCAAAGTAGTATTTGTATTAAGAGCTGTATAGCATGTGGTCTTCTCAGATCAGGATTTGGCTTTGCAGACGTAATACAAACCTACAAAAAGTTGGTGAGGGAAGAATGAGTCAAGGTGTCTTACCTTTTTTTTTGCTCTGGGATTCCCCTGGCTTCTCAGTGTAAGGCAAAGCTTCTCTCCAGAAGGGATGTTTAAAAAACTTGCTTCACAGTAGGACAGTGGTCAAAATGCTACTGAGGGGGCACAAAGAAACACCTGAATTTTTGGTGTACTTGGCTAATGGCTATCTGGCTTTGCTGCGTCATCACCTCAGCTGAAATTCTTAGAGTAGGTTAGAGGTAGATCACACTGTTCTGTTGTTCCACAAGTTCTGATGGCTGAGAGCCATTAGGTAATTTATTATAACACCATAAGCAAATAGCATTAGAGGTGCTGCCTGGGGTGCTACAGCCATTTCTCACAAAAAGAGAATAATTCTGTCTCATGCTCTTTCTGCGGCAGGGTGGCAGTGCTGTGTTTCACATGGCCACTCATCTGTGCTTTTATGATAAACTCTACACATGCTCACGTCTACTTTGTAAAACATCTCAGAGGGGTTTACAAAGAAAACTTTCTCACATTAAAATTACCTGTAAGAAATAGTTAGGCATTGAATAGATGCAAGAAAAAAGGGCTTTTTAAGGGACTTGAAGCATTTGGTATTATCATATTTTACATGTAGTTTATAGACAGGAAACTTGATTGACTTTGATATATGTAATAAGTAGCTAACCTTGTTCAGTGGGGACTTCCCTGTTGAAGAGGAGAAATTTCAGATGCCATTACTAGCTGATTCTAGGGAATTTTGCACAAAAGTGCTCTATATTACTCATGTACACCGGGGTTTTTTAAGCAGATGTCACAACTGTAAGAAGGAGGTATCATTTTAGTCAATTATTTAGCTAGCAGGGTTTTTTTTTCTCCCTCAGTAATTTCTTCCTACTACTGGCCAAAATTGACAGTAATAACAAACCAAGATGAAGACATATTTGTGTCTTTGTCATGCATTCTCCCACTCCAGACAAGTAGTTTTCCATGTAGTTTGTGTAAACTGTTAAGCTCAGTTGCCTATTTAAAAGCAGTACCGAAGTGCTAAAAATCTGAGTACGTTTTTGCTTTGCTTATTAATCACAAAAGCTGTAGGCTATAGTATTAATATTTAGAAATATACTATATAGAATTAAATGGACTTAGATATAAGTAATTATTTCACTAATAACAAATAGTTTTAGAGGAATTTAAACAAAAAGATTACTTCTAGTTTAACAGTATAGCCAAATAGCATCTGGGATTTTTATGTTAATGTAACACTTATTTTATCTGAAAATTACAGATTTTAGACAATGAAAATTCACTTCAAACTCTTATCTGCAACCTACAAGATGAAAACAGGATGTTAAAACAAAAAGTAGCTCATGTGAGTACTTTCATTTTGTTCCAGATTAAGATTTGATTAAGTATTTTGAATTAGAGTAAGTTTGGAATAGGTAAGGCCTGGTTGATCTAATTCAATGGCAGTTTAATGCAAGAAAATTTTTTTTAGACCTTTCAACATGGCACATAGTTCTTGTTCCCTTAGCTAAGATCAACTTATTGTATTATTTTTAATGCACTGGGCTTTTGTTGTTAAAAATGCAATGCAGAAGGAAACTTTCATGTTCCTTGCATGCATCAGTATTGCACACAGGAGAACAGCACTAGGGCCCAGGGTGACCACCAGCCCTTCCCATTGCACATTGTTAAGCACTGTCCCGTTGGACTGGGATGTGGGGAACGCTGCCCGTGCCTCGCAGCATGATAATCTCTGCTCTCCTGTACAGAGGCTTATCCACACTCAGCAGCTGAGTCAGCATGTTGTCTTACCTTCCAGAGAATTTTGGTCCTGCACACATAGATGGTCTGTGAAAGTTGGAAGTTTGTGTCTTCCTGTTCTTCATGACTGTCCTGGCTAATCTTTCAGGTGGAAGATTTAAATGCAAAGTGGCAGAAATATGATGCGAGTAGGGATGAGTATGTGAAGCGACTCCACTTGCAGCTGAAGGAGATGAAGTCACAGCTGGAGCAGCAGCATGGTGTAACTCCAGCACAGACAAATCCTGACCTGATGCACAAGGAGATATTCCGGTTGAACAAGCTACTGGAAGAAAAAATGAATGAATGTGTAAAAACCAAGAGAGAACTAGAAGACATGAAGAGAACTAGTGAAGGGGATAATGAGCGCATACAAATGCTGGAGCAACAGGTCATTAAGTTTCTTTTTCCTAGAGACAGGAATTCTTAAGTTTCTTCCCAGACCACTGAAGGGGGAAAAATGGATTTATTTTTTGGACATTTACCACTTGACTGGCCACATTTGGCTATACAGATACTTAACAACACAGATTTAAACACAGACTTAACCCCATACAGTTCTGCTGGATGTAACACAAAATACAAAAGATCTGTAAAGAAATACAAATACCTTTGAAGTACAGATTTGATATAGAAGATAATACTGAGATTCTGGGAGTAAATAATAAAGGAATCCCAGCCTCAGCTTTTCAATGTAACCTGCCAATGCTCTAATTTATAAAGTATTAACATAATAATTCTTTTTCAGGTCCTGGTTTATAAAGATGATTTCACGTCTGAGAGATCAGACAGAGAAAGAGCACAGAGTAAAATACAAGAACTTCAAGCAGAAGTTGCATGTCTGCAACACCAGCTAGCGAGAAGACAGGTAAGAAAGCAGCAAGCTACTTTTTCAATTCAAGCATGTCAGCAGGATTCAGGACTAAAATATACTTTTAAATGTATTTTAAATGTATCTTAGTCCTTCTAAAACCATTTCAATGTAGTGCAGCTATCAAAAACTTAGATTATTTCCTAGTCAGTTCTAGTGGAGGTGCTTCCTAGTACATATTTGATACCCCACTTGAGTCCATTTTCCTTCTATTTTTGGATCAACATAGTAAGTGTGAATTCTTAGAAGGAGGAGAGCAGCCATGACTCTTGCAGCAGTGACACCTCTAAGTAGCACGCTGGCTGTATTCCAGGTTTTCTACAAGCCTCTTTACGACTCTATTAACAACACTGCAAAAACTGATTAATATTTTGTTTACAAATCACCTGATAAATACTTGAGCAGTATTTCAGATAAAGGTGATAAAATACCACCTGTTAACAAATGTATTTTCACTGAATCTTTTTCAAGAGCTCTTCCTTCTCTTCCTAGGACTCAAGAGACACAAGTAGTCATTTCAGAGTTCACGCTGGGAACCAAAATCAATTGTATGTGCCAACAAACATTGAACATCTACAAGGCAATAGCCCAGGCCGAACAGGCATGAGAAGAACATCTTCACAGTCTGAACAAGCTTCTCCTCCTGTGGACAATGGAAACCCAGGGCCTGAAGGCAGGGCACAGGGTGAACTCAGATGCCCTCACTGCATGAGGTTTTTCAGTGATGAACTCGGTGATGAATTCCTCAAGCACGTTGCTGAATGTTGTCAGTGACCATGGGATGTTAAGGGGTTAAGTCAATCACTACTTTATAGACATAAAACCTGGCTCTATCCATATCTCCTGGAGTCCTAAAAATGGAGTAATTAAAATGAAAAGCTCTCAGGAATTAGGAGGATGAACAATATCTACCTCTTGCTTCATTTCACCTTATCTTGGACTCTATGAAAGGCTTCAAGAGAAAGCAAAGTGTTTTTCTGGAGAAGTATTTTTGACAGCTATGAGGAAGGCAAGCAAAATGCAAATTCTACTACAAATTAAACTGAAACCTACGGTGGTAGTTTAACTTCAGAGTGCAGCTTGACTCGTATTGGAGTCTCATTCTCTACCACAGTCTGACAGCTTGGGAAAACATTATGGATCTTGAAATTTAACTCCTCTTCCAAATATGTAGGCTGAAGAATGGGGAAGAACATTTTGGCAGAAGATAGGAAAAAATCTTATTGTGCTTTATCTGGATTAAAAGTCAAAGCATTTTCTTGTCTATTGAGGCTGAACTTTCAGACATCTCATCTGAAAATTCTTGTGTTTAGCTGAAATCAAAAGTGAAGAAAACAAAAGGGCTGGTTATTGACTAAAACTAGTCTGCCTCTTTGCACAGAAACAAGGCACAGGAATATTTATATTTTCTGTGCCATAAGTACCTATTTTACCAATTTGTAAATGTGTATTTGTGTAATTATTGATTGTATTCCTGTATTACCTAAGGATTATTTTTATAATAAAATCGATTGTGCAGCTGCTTTACTACATTAGTAAAGGGGTCAAAAGTCTCTCAGTGTAAGTATTTACGTGTGAAACAGTCCCAGTAACTATACTAAGGGCTAACTAAATGTCATGGCTTCAGATATGAGTTACTTCATTACTCCAGTGATAACCAGTTTCTCAGACTATTTTCAGATATATTAAAAAAATCACTCCGAGTGGATGAATGACCTTTGAGATGCACAGGAACACATTTAACGCCCCACCCTGCCACACATCTGTGACTCTGCCAATGCTGCCTTAAATTTCTTACCCTGTCTGCACTGGAGAGAGCCTCAGCAACTAGCAGGGGCCTGTTTCCAGAAGAAGTAGCAGAAATGTACAAATACAAGAGGGCTATAGGGTTTTTTCAGCCTTGGCTCCAGGTGTTTCTTTTTGCATTGGAGCTGGGAATAATGATGGGATACAAAGTAAGGGTCCAGTGCAACCATGACACTTCATAATAAAACAGAACTTACCTTGTATAACAACACTTCTGCTTTGCTTCCTTGCCTGTACTATCCTTCAGGAGGATTGTGGATATTTTTCTGGATATTTTCTTTTCAGGATCCTGTTACAGCCCCAAAGGAAGATGATGGTTTATGCCATTGTTACCTTTGGTGATATTACCAAAAACAATACTCAGGCCATTGCATACAGCATGCAGGTGCAATGGTTCTTATTGATCTAATTTACAAGTGATTGCAGACCTGTGATTCATTACTAGCTTGTTTTTTCCCAACACAATGTGCACAAACATGCAGTGATTTTTTTCAAAATTTTTTTTAAAGTGACCATTTTCTACATTGCCTTTTAAGGTCTTAGAGATGAGATGCAGCCCACAGAATATAAGCTGAGAAACATGATCAAACTTCCTGTGGCATCTTACATTTTCTGACTGTTCTCATTAGACAACCCTGGTTTACAGCTTCAGTGTGCACCAATACTATATTGCCAGTGATTGATACAGCAGAATAGGGACACGGATTTATTTTTTTTAATGATTCACACTACAAGACAGTTAAACACAACAGTAAAATGAGTTAGATCTTGGCAGTGCATGTTTTTTAATTTGCATTGAGATGGCGAGTGCTCTAATATACATCAGAAGCTGAAGTCTGCTATAGGTTTCCACTCATGTTAATCCCTGTGGGAATAGTTGGACAGAATGACCTACAACTATTAGAAATAGATGCAAGAATTAGATGTGAAAATCTGCAGTACATAAAAAGTAATAGTACCTATTCTTGTGGATTTAAATTCTGTGAATCAGTCCCCAGTCAAAGCAGACATTAGTTTCATACTAATCCTGGGAATGGAGGGAATGCTGGGAAAATGGATATACCTACAGCAAGAACAACACTGGACCAACAAACACAAACAGGTGAAGTTATGCATCAAGCACAGGTTACAGCTACCTTCTAAGACAATAAATGCAATAAATGAGGACTGGAATTTGATTACCTGTGGCAAAAATCTAGGATGGATCTGGTTTTCAGTACAAAAACACCTCCCTTCAGAGCTGTTTTACTTTACCATTTTCTATTGAGGGTTGTTGGTTTTTTCTGGCTGGTAAAAAGCTTTACCTGTTTCTTTCTTGTTTTGGCTTAACCAAGAAACCCATTACTCACACTGTGAAGAACTACCAGTGTCCTACATGCAAATGTTTGTCTTAGATGATAGGGCATAACCTATTGCTCCTAAGTAAAGTTGTCTGTTACACAGTGCTTTGACCTTTACACCAAAGTCACTGGTAGATCTCTTGAAGAAACACTACAAAATCTTGACTTGCCCCCTCCTTACCAGTCAAAGCACACACACCAAAGCATCCCCAGCAATTCCCACCACCACCTACATTCACATTCCTCAACTTGCACACAAGAATGCATAAAACCTGTCAGCTGCCCCAACACTGAAGCAAATGTGGCTGTGAATTTCCAGCATTTTTTTTAATCCTTAAAATTAAGGAAAGCTCCATCTGACTTCCCACTGGTGTTTTCTGCCAGTTGGATTGTTGTCCTAGTAGTGTGTCTTGCTTGATTAAATAGTACGAGCAACTCAGCTCCTTTCCTAAAAGAAAGCAATAAAGGCATAGTGAGTAAGACAGGAACTGCATACAGTGAAAGGAACATCAACAGCATAAACTTCATGAACTTTCATGATCCATTTGTACTACACTTGTTCACTGAAACACACATCATCTGTAAAACTGCAGACATGTCCTCACACAGGAGACTCTTGAAATCATTCATAAAAACTATGTGACTGTACGTGACTCGGTTCCTTATTTGCTGTATTGATACCAAAAGGCACCCAAGATAAATGAACCCTGTTTTCAGGCAAAGTTAATGCCCATTTAGGCTTCTACAAATCTCTCATTGAGGTGAGCAATGCCCGTACTGCTAGAAGTCAGACAGAGATACTACTGCAGGTGCAGGGAGGCTGGGAGCAGGCAGGACTACTGTCTCTTCTGGGACTTGTAGCAATGTGTCTTAGAGTATTAAAAGCTTCCAAAATGTATTTGTTCAATTACCTTCATGATAAGTCCATCCCTTCTCTTAAAATTTGTTCTTCACTTCATTACCTTCCCTCAGTTTTGCCCTCCAGACCAGCCTGAGTCCCAGCCCACCCAGGGCAAGCTCAGAGCTCCCAAGCAGCTCTCACCTCACCAGTGATGAGGTTTTCAGACAGCATATCCTCCAGCTGCTGACTCTCATTTCTCCTGGGCCTAATGATAATGTATTTTGCTCAGGATTTTAACCTAAAGGCCTGTTTACTAACAACCATTCTGATGGCCATGCAGGAGTAGGCCCTTAACACACAATCACAACAGCAGCTGTAGGCAACACTGACTCACTGCATCTTAGGACCAATTGCAAGAAGCCTCAGAAGCTGGTCCCTACCCCAAAAGCCCCAAGGGAGAAAAGATGAACAAAAATGCTCTCTCCTGGAGCTTGGGCAGTGCAGAGCCTAAAGAGCTTCTCAAATCACCTGTAACTTCTAAGGCAATGTCTGCTTTCTGCTCCAATGAGTTTTAGAATATCATGTCTTTTAAAACAAGCCTTAAATGATGCCTCAGGGTTAAGTATTTGCTAATAATAAAACCAACTACAGGAGTGAAATTTGTTCAAGAAGCAGATACCTATGTTCTATGGGGTTTTTTTAAGCTTCCATTTCCTGTGGCTTTGCTGCATGTGTATATATAGAAAGCAAGGGAAATTCCAAACAAGATGCCACACCATTATACTCAGAACAGCAACGCTTCGCATTCTGAAAAAAGGGAAGTCTCAAATGCTTTTTCTACAAAATCTATGTGAATTCAAAGTATGCTGTAGTAATATTTCATAGTACCATGCTCCAGTAGCTATTAGCTGGGGGAGGGAGGGGTGTTCAAGTTAAAAACCTAAAGCATAAGAAATACTTATGAAGCACTAGGTCAGCAGGACCTCAGCAGAGGAATGAGCTATCAGGTTAAGCACTCCTGTCTCAAACCCCTCACTAAGGGCAAACTACAGCCCAGCACCTTCAGTGAAGCATTCTCTGCCACAGGCTGTCCTAGCTGGGGGATAAGGGCTCCAGCAAGCTCAGATGGGGATCTACAAGGTTCTGCAGTAACTGCTTACACAGAAACTCCTGAAAGGCACCAACCATCCCAAGCGGCACAGCACTTGTGTCTCCACTCCCACTGTTTTGACTATGCACCACTCAGTGCATTCTTCCCCTTTTCTCTTTAGTACATCCACTTTTCTGTCCTCTTTTTACATTTGCTGATAAGAAGCTGCTGGTGCAGGAACACTTCACAACATGTGATGGATGTATGGTGTCAACAGTGGCCAGTAACTTCCCTTGGAGCCTGAGGTATTTCCATGGCACATGGAGCACTGCTGCAGACAGCACTGATACAGATGGTGGGTTACAAGAATCTTATTTCAAATGGCTTTTTTTGGTGCCTTCTAGAAGGCTGTACTTATCTTAACCATACTCCTTGCCTCACCACCCTTTCCTGGGTCAGCTCTCCAGCACATCCTCTGGAGCCCTGTCTGATGGCTGGGCTGAGCACACTGAGCATGATAGCTGTCTGCTGCTGCTGATCCCCACATCCTTGGTGTCACAGGAACTCACCTTACCTGAGCCTTACACCCGCTAATTTCTCAAGAAGTGGGAGGGAGGAAAGAGCAGTGGGACCCAGTTCTGCAGTGCTTGCAGATCTACCTCCCTCCCTTCCCTGTCACCACTGCAACCATTTCTCT